GTGGATCGTAGGGTACTTTAATTGGGATTTCTTCGGGGGTGTTGGGGTTTGTATAAAAATTAGACCCGTTTCGATCGTCGTTGCCTTGTTGTTTCACTAATTTATTGTGTCATGTTTACCAGCTAACTTCTGCAGGCGATCTAGATTCGGAATGAAATGCAATATAGACGCCTGGTTATATGCTATAAATTTCTGGGTCAGATTACAAGGTTCATTCATAAAAACAAACAAAAAAACGAAGCGAATGCACACGGCAGGTGTAAAAAGGTTTACTCTTTCAAAATGGAAAGTTAAAGTGTGCAAGGCGGAAAACATTATTTTGTAAATTTAATTTTGAATTTTACTGCTTTGTTGTCTGCAAAAACACTCAAAAAACACACGCACACACACACGCGCGCTCACGGTTCTTGTGTTGTATTTGTTTTTCTTTTTCGCTGTTTTGTGACCTTTAGTTGTCACTTTGCCTTTGTCTTTCTTGAATTTCTTATAAATACTCGAGATTTACAGCTTATTGCTAGTTTTGTTTTTATCTATTAATGTTCCCACGAGCGTGTGTATGTGTGTTTGCGTCTCACTGGCAAATATTTTAGCGAAATTTGTATACATAGATGGCTAGACGTACATACAAATACATAAATAGCACCATTATGACGTCACTTTTGTTTTGGTCTCCAATTTCGTTTCAAGGTCCTTCGATTTTGGGACACTGTACGCCGAACATTTGCGCGTTTATTACGAGCACTCGCTGCCGTTTAGTTTTTATCACATCACAGCGAATAATTTAATTCACACCGATTTACACTTCGATCCGATTTTTTTTACTGTCGCGAGCAGAATGAGTAGAGATGGCCTAACTGCAATAACATGCCCCAGACTATCGATACACCAAACATATGCGCTTGTTGTTTCTATCGATGAGGTAATATCGATTGTTTTTGTCAGTTTAAAAAATGTATAAATCGACCAAAATTTAAAGCTTTTTCTTGGTCGTTGCATTTTTAATTCCATTTGTGAAATAACTTTAAAAGCAAATATTTTTATATTCAAAAAAAAACGATACAAACAGCAGCTTAAGATCAACAGAGTACCCTTATTTGTATTAATCCGAAAGGTTCGAAACTCGGCTGTCAATTATCACAGACTCGACCCATTCTACATATGTAAATAAAACATCTAACCGCTCTTAGTCCGAAAACTACAGCTTTCTCTCCATTTTCAATTAAGTAGCTCATTTTGAATTTGTTTTAAACGCAATTCGATAAATTTTATTTATAATTAAATCATGGATTCGTTAACATTAATTACAATTATTTAAAAATTAGGCGTGGCTGCTGCTGTTTTTTTTTTTTTTTTTTCGTTTTTCGATTTGTATGATCAAGAGAATGTCGTTTAATTGAATGTGAAATTTGCGGTTTTGTTTTTTTTCTGCCGTTTATGAGTCTGCATATGTGCCATGCAAGTGTGTGGGTGCGCATATGAGTACGAGTCTTTGAGTGCAGCTGCGTGTGTGTGTATCAGCGGTTCACATCGGCGTGGCAGTGGCTATAATTAAAAATATATTTTTTTACCGTTTAAGGTCGAAATCCTGGCTTCGCGATTATTCAAAACTGAGAGTTAAAAAGTACAAACTGATGAATGAACTGGCTGGCTATCATGGCAGAGAGTTAGTTATCAGAGATACAGATACAAAACGGGCGTATCACACAAAAAGCGTTCGAACAAAGTTATTAACACATGTCATATTATGATAGGTGCATGAAACACGAAGATATCACAAACAATTTGCTATCAATAATTTAAAAGATAATCACAATTGGTTCTGAACCAAGCAACTGCAATCATCGATTCTACAACCGAGAATTTGTTGGAAATGCTCCACTCCTGCGCTCTCCACCATCCCTCCTATACCCTAAGCTACATCCTGCCAACGACCACGCCTTCATGAATCCGTCCAATGCCACACACTTCTCTACAGTCGTCTAGGTCTTCTGTTTGCCCTGCTTACAGAACTCCTTGTAGGCCCGCTCGGTTTCCTCGTCCATCTCGGCGTCCATTTCCAAGTCGGCAGCATCCCCTTCGAAGTCATCATCGCCATCATTATCCCCGGTGGCCAGGAAGTCGGTCTCTTCGGCAGTCAATTCGCGGCCATCGGGTCCGTAGAAGACGGGCTCATCGCTCAGGCGCAGTGGCTCCTTTACTGTATCTTCATCGTCACCCAAAGCGTTCGACACTTTCCTGCCCCAGTTGTTCTGCTGCAGAGCAATTACACTGGCCGCCATGGGGTATTTGCCCGGCGACTTCAGCTCGATTGCCTGCAGGGCCGTGATAATCTCTTGTATATCCTTGGGGCAATCGGCCGTCAGATCATAGCCAGCCAGCTTGAGGGTCTGGCACAGACAGCGAACATTCTCGTTGCTCTCGCTGGCCAGCAGCTTACTCAGTGAATATACAATATTCACAGCGATCAACTGGATGCGCGAGTCGTCGTCGCCGCGCAACTGCATGTATAGCTCGGCCAGAAAGAGGGCAGTCTCGCGAACCTTCTGCTGCTCGTTGGAGCGCATGTACTTGGTCACTTCCTCCTGGTGGTAGTCCAGCTTGCACTTGAGCAGCGTGTGGAACAGCGAGTCCGGCTTCGAGTTAAGCATGTGCAGCAGGTTGTACAGCTTGGCGCCCATGTACCGGAAGTTCGGCTGCTCGATCGACTTCTCGAAGATGTCCTCCATGGCGATGGAGAGCACAAATTGGTTGTTTTCCATGCCATCGAAAATAGTCAGGAAGCGTGATGCAATCGTATCAAATTGGCCCGGATTCTGGATGGGGATCATTAACATTAATGGTTAGTGGGGAAATTAAATTTAAAGAGTAAGATAAGTGCGTCAGATAGTCACTGAAATCTATTTCTAGATATTTACTATACACAAAAAAATGTACTTTGAAGCATAAAAGGAACACAGCCTTTCAATATACAATTATAATATATTTTAAGACGACTCTAAGTTGACCTCTATTAAAATTGCTTAAGCAATCATTTAACAGAAAAATATAAGTCATACGAAGCCGCCTTCCTCTAAGTTACTTTTAAGCTATTGTTCCGATGAACCCATTATTTTTCTTATCAATTTAAATCCTCACCTGGTTAAGGCAATGTATGACTGTATCGAGATACTCCAGTGCTATGGTGGCCATGTCCGGCTGCGAAGAGTTCGAGGACGACGAGGAGGCCGCCGCAGACGAAGTGGATGGCTGCGGTTGTTGCTTTTGTTGGTTCTGGTTCTGGAAATACTGCTGCTGCTGGTGGTTGTGCTGCTGGTGGTGCGGCTGGTGGTGCTGTGTTTGCTGTGCGATTTGTTGGAATGCGTTATTCAAGTGGGTATGCCGTTGGAACTTGGCGTGTTGGTTGTGTGGCTGATGCTGCTGCTGGTGTTGTTGGTGGTGGTGTGTGTTTTGGTGTACCTGCTGCTGCTGATAGTAGTTGCCGGCTGAGCCTTGCTGGCTATTTAGATGCAGACGATTCTGCACGGAATTCGTTAGCTTCTGCATATCGTTGTTGAACTTCTGCTGATGATTGTGATGATGGTTGTAGTGCGGCTGCTGGTGGTGCTGCTGCTGATGGTGATGCTTAAAGCCATTCATATAGCGCGGCTGCTGTTGGCCATAATGAGCTCCTCCTCCGGAGCCGGCTCCACCAGCCTGCTGGTATTGCTGATGTCGCGACTGCTGCTGCGGGGGAGCAGCTTCTCGAGGGATGAAAATGGTGGCCGTGGCCGACAGATTGGATGCATCGGACAGAGTCTGCGCCTGGGCTTGCATGGCCTGCACAGGGAAATTACCAACAACCTGCCCGTAGGCCTGGGCCCCAGCGTAATCCCCAAAGAGATGCGCCTGCTGCTCCAGTCCCGGCATGGCCACTCCGCCGGTTCCGCCGACGTTCGGCCGGCGCAGCTGCTCGTACTGATCGTCGGGCTGGAAGGGGGCGCGGCATGACATTGCGTTGGACTTGAAAACTGCAAATCACGAAACAGAGTTAAATAATAGATGGGGATTAGTTAATCTAAATAAAGACAAATCCAGCGTGGTTACGTCTGTGAGCGTCGGGGACGCCGATTCCGTCAGGGTCGCGGACATTTTGTTTTCCTTGCACTGGTTTTTTCTTGCTTTTTTTATGTCTTTTTTTCCGCTGCCGGGTCAGGCGGTGTCGCCCAGTGTAATGGACCTTTCCTATCGACTGCCGTGTAGGGAGGAAATTGCAATGCCTACCTTAATTCTGTTCAAGTTGAATGTGTACGTCGCCGATTTTCGTTTTTGTTGCTTCGTTTTGCTGCGTCGTCACTTTCTCGTCTGCGTCTGCTGCGCTGCTCCGAATTTGCTGGCTGATTTTGGGTGGGATTTCACGTTTTACTAACCGTCGAAAATGGAAAATGGGACGGGTGGGGGGGCCGGGTCGGCCGCTGACCGCCGATTGGGTATGAGAAAAGCTACGCACCTTTTATTCGCACTGCGGCAATTTGTTAAAATTAATTATTTCGCCTTTTCACCGTCGGTGTGGTCGCAAGTGGCTAGCGGAAAATTACCTGGCGAAGAATACCTTTGTTGTCTTCGGCGGCAGGATTGCTTAAAATGAATCGAAATATCGATACGTCCCAACATGGTCACATTTTAAGTAAAGAGAAATGTGCTCAGCAATGTCGTAGAAAATTTGCATTTAACCTACTTTATTCCAAGCAATTAATGCATAAATACATATAACATAAATATATTATATTGCGAAACTATTATGATCATAACACTTTTTGTCTCAGGCGAACCACTCGAAGGAATAACTGATATCATATAACTGATATCTGGCTTAACTTTTAATTTTAATTTTTATGATTTAATTTTTAACAACTTATTCCTTTTTAATATAAATAAACAAACAATTATCTTGAAACAGTACAATTTAGAAAATAATAAATAAATACTGTTTATGATTATTAATCACTATGCAAAGCGGAATCACAAATACACATATTTTTTAACTGTTTGACAACCCTATTGCGATAGCGCAGAGCCAACTTGCTTGTGTTATTTTGCTTGCGTGCAACGGTCACACCCGGAAAATGTTCTGTTTTGTTATTTTAATGGACCAGCTTAGCTGGTGGTGTGCAATTATATGTTATTTATTCAATTCGCTTGTGTGTCGCTTAGAATGTGCTAGAACAATGTGAACACTGCGAAGAGTGCGCCCCATTGCAGCCGGAGCATCGATATAATTAAGTTAAAGTGCAATATTTACGCATACACTAACTAAAAAATAAGGACGACGATTTGTTAAAAATAAACGACGAGCGTAAGTATATGTGCAGGTGAACGCATATGTACCTGTAGCGCTTGTTTTCTGTGCTCTACATGTGCAATTGTTGAATTGAATTCTTCTGTTTGGCCGTGTGCGCCTCCTCGAGAATTCCTTTGTGGCTACTCCGCTCTTTCATGCTGTAAATTCAAGGCACTGTGACGTGTGTGTGTGTGTAAACTCAAACAATCGCATTTGAATGCTACACAGACAGCGGCCAAGTTCATTCACTCTTTCCCTTGCTTATATATAGTTACTCATCTTATTATATAGTTACTCATCTTTCATATCTGTCTTCTCGCGCTTATCTAACTGTGGAGCTGATTCGGCGTGCAAATAATGTTGATTCGATTAGTTGATCACCTGATTCGAGTCGTTCTGATCCCAACCGATTTTGGTTCGACGACATTGGCGAGCGGATCAGAACAGAACTGCAAGCGGAATTGCCTTTTTTGACGGTTGCACCACCGCTCACGTATTCCGAGCTATTTGGAGCTGATCTCGTTCGCGTCCTTGTCGCTTAGTTGTAAAATTACCGATCCTCCAGTCGATGTCGCATTTTGGATACGTTACCGTATTTCACCACTCGCCGGGATCTTTTTTTTTGCGTTGGTTCGTTCAAATAAAGTGGGTCAAGACCGCTTGGCGCCAAGAAAATCGCCATATGTATGTACAGCTGCGGCTAAAAAAATAGCACGACTGCAGGTGGAAAGTTTATTTCCTAAAAAAAATGATTGAATGTTTATTTTTTTTAAAGTCAGTTTGCATTAATAATAAGTACCATATGTTGTCTCTCTGAGCAAGAAATTTTTACTCTCTCAATGTAACGGTTCTTTTTGTTTTTGGGCACTTTCTGTAAAAGCGCCCGAAATGAGGCGGTAACAAAACTAGCACTGACCACGTATTTGCTGAATAAAATTAATAGGAGTGATTGCTTTGGGTTTTTTTTTGACAAATTTTGAAAAAAGGAGTTGCATTAAAGGTTTTAATTGAATTTTTTCCAAACGAAGACCAAAAATTCTCTAGTCATGGGTCGCGGAAAGCATTGTACCGTCGAATAAAGGAATTTGATTAAAAACATGGTCTCTGAAGGTAAAACCTACGCTAAAATTGATCGAATTTTTGGTTGTTCAAACAAAATGATCCGCAAAGCACTGCTGTTTGTCGAAAAGAACGAAACACGTGGAAGAAAGCCCTCAATGTCCAACGTGGAGATCAAGCGCTTGGTTCGGCAAAGCAAGAAGGAGCCTTTTAAGCCGGCAACGGAACTGAAGAAGGAGCTTCAGATAGCTGAAAGCGTGAAAACAGTATGCAAACGCTTAAGACAAAACAACTTTAATGCGTGGAGTCCCAGAAAAGTCCCGCTTTTGACTGTGAAGCATGTGGCAAAGCGAATGGAATATGCTAAGATACACAAGGATTGGCCTGTGGAGAAGTGGCGCAACATTTTGTGGTCAGATGAGAGCAAAATTGTGTTGTTTGGTGGAAAAGGCTCTCGGTCTTATGTTCGGCGTCCACCACGACCTGAATATAATCCTCGCTTCACCTCTAAGACGGTAAAGAACGGAGGATCAAACATAATGGTATGGGCGTGCTTTTCATACTATGGAGTAGGTCCGATCCATTGGATTCAAAGCATCATGGATCAGCATATTTACACAGATATCCTGGAAAATGTGATGCTGCCATATGCCGAGGATGAAATGTCGTTAGTTTGGACATTTCAATAAGGTAACGACCCAAAACACACGAGCAAGAAAGCTCGAAAGTGGTTTGAGCAGAAATCGATCAGAGTAATGAAATGGTCTGCTCAGTCACCCGACTTGAATCCAATCGAAAACCTTTGGGCGACGTGAAAAAAAAGGTTTCTGAAGCCAAACCCAATAATATCGAGGAACTTTGGGGTGTGCTCAAGGATGCATGGAGCAAAATTCCTCAAAAACGGTGCCAGGACTTGGTGGACTCCATGCCAGGACGATGCGCAGCTGTCATCGCCAACAAAGGTCACGCAACCAAATATTAAGATTCTTTAAACATAGTTCTTAAGATATAATCCATTTGTTGAATTATTTTTTTATTTTTTTGCTTAGTTTTAGCAAACTACGAAAAAAAGTGCTATTTTTGTTATCGCCTAAATTTGAAGGTTTTCTTTTTGTTTTGCCAATTATTTTCAAAATATCCATTAGATCTGTTACTAATTTTGTTATTTCGATTGAAAATCATTGTAGAATTTAAGTTTAGTGAGTAAAATGATGAAAAAGTGTCAGAAAATACAGAAACGCTGGGACAAACACGAAATGTGCTTATGGTGCTATTAATGTCTCCGCAACTGTACATACGTGCAAAATGCTTGGAAGCCAGAATGCAGTGCTTCCTCACAAAAATAAACAAAAATTGAAACTTTTTAGGGACTGGCACAAAAACTAAAGAAAAATTTATTTTTCTTTACTCTTATCAGTATGCTTAAGCTCATGGGCGTTATAACGCATATTATGGGCATATTAACGCAATAAAGGGAATTTTGTGAATGCGTTGGTATGACTTAATCGTCATCCCTTATCAAAAAAATTTTATTGTCAGTCGATAAATGATATTTTCCTGGTTTTGCCTAATTTTGTTCCGACTTATGTTTGTTATCATGTCAAAGACACTATTTTTTGTTTGTATATGAATCTTATATATGTGTTTTCTTTGTTTAGGCCAGTACCATAAATATTTTTTAAATGTCAAGAAATAATTTGTATTATTATTATTATATAATTATATGCCATAGAATTAAAATTGTATTTATCTGAATACCCTTTACTATTTACTTAGTTAATACCAATATGGATTTTGAAACGAGAGTTCCGCAATACAACTACAAGGACATTTTGTTCGTGTTCTTTGACAATTTCGTCGAGGATTTCGACTGCAAGGATGTCCAGGACATGCTGCTACGAGTGTTTTCCAAAGAGGAAATTGACCACATCATCAACTCCAAGGATGCAGACACCGCCACTCTTCGCTTATTTTGGGCACTGCTCTCTAAACAGGAGAAAACAGTACAAATCTTTGTGGAGGACGTTCTCAATGGTGGTGATTCGGCCAACTACGCATTTTTAATGGATGCTATCAAGGATGAGCTTCGGCAGCCAAGGTTGAAGACAAGGATGTACGTCGAGCAGCGAGATCGTCTTTACAATGACAACCAAGTGTTTGCAAAGTACAATGTGAACCGCCTGCACCCGGTAGGATAATCTCTCATTCGAAAGCAAAAAATAAGTCGAACTTGAAAAACCAAAAAAATAATTTTACTAAAGGGAGTTTTTATATTTTCAGTATATGAAACTAACGCAGGCTCTGCTAGAACTTCGTCCATCAAAAAATGTATTGATCTATGGCGCCTTGGGATCGGGAAAGCATTGGGTAGCCTTGGACGTGTGCCTATCGTACAAAGTGCAACGCGAGATGGACTTTAAAATCTTCTGGCTGAACTTAAAGAACTGCAATAGCCTTGAGACCGTGCTAGAGATGCTGCAGAAATTACTTCACCAAATGGATCCAAACTGGACCACTCGTAGCGATCACAGCAGTAACATAAAGCTTCGAATCCACAGCATTCAGGCGGAACTGCGACGACTACTTAAGAGCAAGCCATATGAGAATTGTCTCCTTGTACTGCTTAATGTGCAAAATGCCAAAGCTTGGAATGCCTTCAACTTGAGCTGCAAGATATTGCTGACCACAAGGTTCAAACAGGTCACTGACTTTCTCTCGGGAGCTACCACAACTCACATTTCATTGGATCATCATTCGATGACGCTAACGCCGGATGAGGTTAAGTCTTTGTTTCTAAAATACCTCCACTGCCGACCACAGGATTTGCCTCGTGAAGTTTTGACAACGAATCCCCGCAGACTAAGCATTATTGCTGAGAGCATACGGGATGGTCTGGCGACTTGGGACAACTGGAAACAGTAAGTGAAGTTTGGGGTTTCACACTAAATAACTACATAACTACATTGCTTCCAGCGTAAATTGCGATAAGCTGAAGACTATCATTGAGAGCTCCATTAACGTTCTGGAGCCCGCTGAATATAGAAAAATGTTTAATAGACTGTCCATTTTCCCTGCCTCAGCCCACATACCCATTAATGTAAGTAACCTCCATTTTTTACAGCATTCATATGTATATGTACTAATCAATATCAACTTCCTGTTGAACAGCTCCTATCGCTGATATGGTTTGATGACAAATCCGATGGCGACGATGCAATGGTGGTGGTTAACAAGCTTCATAAATATTCCTTGGTGGAAAAGCAACCGAAGGAGTCAACCATAAGTATACCCAGCATATACTCGGAGTTGAAAGTCAAGGTTGGAGACGAATCTGCACTTCATCGGAGGATCGTTGATCGCTATAAGTAAGCCCCTAGCCCTTTTCTTGATATAACCAATCCTTAATGTATTAACATTAAGTTACGTGTAAAAAAAAGTATACTGAGTGATTTTACCTTTTTTTTTAAGCATCCCAAAAGCGTTCGATCACGACGACTTAATACTGCCTTTTCTGGATAAATACTTCTATAGCCACATCGGTCATCATCTGCAAACAATTGAGCCCACCGAACGGGTGACTCTCTTTCGCATGGTCTTTTTAGATTTCCGTTTTCTAGAACAAAAGATTCGCCACGATTCAACTGCTTGGAATGCCAGCGGATCGATCTTGAACACGCTGCAGCAGCTGAAGTTCTACAAGCCATATATCTGTGGTACGTACACATGGAATCATTAGAAACAAAGAAATCTTTTATACTATATTCTTTTTTTTTTCGTACAGACAATGACCCGAAGTATGAGCACTTGGTAAACGCCATTCTGGATTTCTTGCCAAAGATTGAGGAGAATCTTATTTGTTCAAAGTTTATGGACCTGCTTAGGATTGCCCTGATGGCCGAGGATGAGGCGATTTTTGAAGAAGCCCACAAGCAAGTTCAGCGATTTGGCGATCGAGTTTGGTTTACCGAACAGTAAGTACTTACCAACTATTGATTAGTTAACCAAACAATACTGTGATAGTTTTATATGTAATTAGTAATTCACTTTTTCCTTTTATCAGTGGTCGTTTCCACCAGCACCGCCAGATAATAAACCTGGGCAATAATGAGGTGCGCCATGCTGTCTACCTTGACAACGACTTTTGCTTGCTGGCGCTGAGCAGCAAGCAGCTTCTGCTAACCGATGTTTCGCTAGAGGGAGAGGATACCTATTTGCTAAGGGACGAAAGCGACAGCAGTGACATTCTACGTATGGCGGTGTTCAACCACCAGAAGCACTTAATCACCTTGCACAGCAACGGCAGCGTAAAACTTTGGTCGCTGTGGCCCGATTGTCCAGAAAGGCGCCATAGTGGTGGTAGCAGGCAGCGTGTGCGTCCTCCCGCCTCCGCTCATCTTCGAAAGCCCACGGGCACGCGCAGCTATCAGCAGTTAGTCAACAGTGTGGTCAAACGCTTTATTGGCAGCTATGTAAATCAGAAAATTGTGGCTTTCTATTTGGATGAAGACGCCAGATTGCCAGAGACCAAAATCCAATTGCATGTGGCATTCAGCAATGGTGATGTGAGCATTTTGAATTGGGACGACCAAGATCTGGTGTTCAAACTCTCGCAAACGCCTATTTTAAAAACGATGCAGTCGGAAATTCGCTGTTTGGTTCAGGTTTTGAAGCGATATTACGTGGTCTGCACCTCCGATTGCACACTTACTGTATGGGATTTAAAAAATGGTTCCGGCGACAAGCCGGAACTACAAGGTTTTGATGTTGATAACGACACTCCATTGGCCTTAGAAGTATTTGGCGAAAAGACTCAGACCTCCACCGTATTGCTGATTTTTAAGTACAGCGTATGGCGGCTCAACTTTATGCCAGGTCCGTCAGTTAGCTTGCAGTCGGAGCCAGTGCAACTGCCAGAGGGAAGTTTTATCACCTGCGGAAAGCGTTCGACTGAGGGACACTACCTACTTCTTGGTACATCGGAGGGACTTATTGTGTATGATCTTAGAATCTCTGATCCCGTACTACGCAGCAATGTCAGCGAACATATAGAATGTGTGGATATCTACGATCTAATTGACCCTGTCTATAAGTACATTGTTTTGTGTGGCGCTAAGGGAAAGCAGGTGGTTCATGTGCATACATTGCGCTCTGTAAGCGGATCGAACTCACATCAAAACAGGGAAATCACCTGGGTTCACAGTGCAGATGAGAAAAGCGTTATGACAAAGGCTTGCCTAGAGCCCAATGTTTATCTGCGTTCTCTCATGGACATGACCAGAGAGCGGACGCAACTTCTGGCTGTGGACTCCAAAGAGCGCATTCACCTAATTGAAACTGCCACCAATCCAAGAGCTCGAAGGAGATCTAGCATTTCGGCATGGTCTACAATCACACCCACTCATGCTGCCAGTAACTGTAAGATAAATGCCATATCCGCCTTCACCGAAGAACAGATATTCGTGGGATATGTGGACGGGGTGATAATAGACGTTAACCTGGATGCAGCTCTACCTCAGCAGTTTATAACGGGGCCCATTGATTACCTCAAGCAGGTCAGTCCAAACTTTCTGGTGGCGTCGGCACACAGTGCCCAAAAGACTGTGATATTCCAGCTTAGAAAGACAGATTCGCTGCAGCCCAATTGCCAGTGGCCATTGCAGCTGGATGTAAGCACCAAGTACGCGTCCTTACAGGAAGGAAAGTATATCATTTTGTTTTCCGACCATGGAGTCTGGGTGAGTGTTCTTAATTTCAGTTTATGCGAATAAAAGTTCAGTATCTGAATTCAATATTTTCCAACAGCATTTGGATATAGCTAACCCATCTGCATTCGTGAAACCTGAGGAATCGGAGGAATCCATTGTTGGCTTTGATTTAAAGAATAGTCTTCTTTTTCTGGCCTACGGAAACAACACCATTGAGGTGGGTTAAACAAAAGTAGTAAATACCATTACAATGTTATTTCCAACCACAGGTATTTCGTTTAATATTCAGCTGTAACCAGCTAAGGTACGAACCGGTCTGCGAAGAGGAGATCGCCCAGAAGGCCAAGATCAGTTATTTGGTAGCAACGGATGATGGTACCATGTTCGCATTGGGTTTTGAAAATGGCATTTTAGAGGTATACGTCGTTAAAATACGTCCCATATTAATATCCTGCTAATTATAAATTTCGCAAAAGATCTTTGGCGTAGAAAACCGACAAGTGCAACTGATCTACAGCATTCAAGAGGTCCATGAGCACTGCATCCGGCAATTGCGATTCTCGCCCTGCAAGCAGCTCCTGGTAAGCTGCGCTGAGCAGCTGTGCTTCTGGAACGTAACGCACATGCGCAACAATCAAATGGAGCGCGAGCAAATACAGCGACGCAGTCGACGCCACAAGCAGCACAGTGTTACACAAGAGGATGCTGTGGATGCGGCGCCCATTGCACCGGACATCGATTTAGATCTCACATTTGTTGCCCACGAATTTCAACCTGGTAACCGAGAGACGGCGGAACTGTGGCGGAATAAGCGCGGAAATGCCATACTTCCGGAACTCTTGGCCTGCATTAAATTTGTGGGAAATGAAGCGCGTCAGTTCTTTACAGATGCCCAGTTCTCCCACTTTTATGCCATTGATGACGAGGGTGTCTACTACCATCTGCAGTTGCTGGAATTGAGTAGACTTCAACCTCCACCTGACCCAGATCCAGGGGAGGTTGCCGATCAATATGAAGACATAAAAAATCTCCGAATCCTGGATAGCCCGCTAATGCAGGATCCGGATAACGAGGGTGCCGATGTGGTCGGCAACCTGGTTCTGGAGAAGAACAGAAGAGTGGCGGCAGCGAAACCAATTTTGGAGGAGGCCAGCTCATGACGCCAGAAGTACGCCCCTTGGCGGCGCACGATACAGGAAAGTCCAAACTACAACATGGCATTTTTAGGATTAGTGCTCTACTACCTGGTGGTATTGCTATTCTACCTCCTGGGTCCAGATTTGTCCTAGGCAAACAGTGGTTGTTGGCCCGTACATTTGCACATGTTGGTGGCTAGTCAAGTATGATATCTCAGGAGGCGGTGGGTGCGTTGCCCTGCCTTTGTTTGGCAACCCGAGTAACCGCCACCAAATAAACGAAATTTAAAAAAAAATGCAATTTTGTTGTCTGCTCTTTGTGCTGTCAGCTTGTCTGCGTGTGTGTGTGTATGTCACGGTGTTGTGTTGTGCGTTTGTTTTGATTTCTGCAAGGCACGCCAGATCAAGTGTTGCAAAAGCATTGGTCCCGGGCCAGTGCTGCTAAGTACTTTTATCGATATCAGTGTTGCGGGCCAATAAAAAGGTACGTACGGGGATTGTAGTTGGGGGAATTCGAATCTGTCTGAAATAACTAACAATGTGCCCATAATGCTTACATTTATAATTTATTTAAAATTTCAATATATGTTCAGGCACATAAGCTTAATGAACAGACGGCCAGAGTATAATTTGCGTCAAATAAAGCGATACGTAAAAATCCAATGTGTTAGCTAATTCTTATCTTCGGGAAGGTACTCAGTTTCTACCAATCGTAGGTACGGTACGAGCACTGAATTCCGTACCTAACCGCCGCCCTATTCAACACTGGCAGATATGCGCTCTTTCTCGTCATTTCATTCCAATTTTCAAGCTGAAAAGAAAAGAACGTCGTGTGCGTGTTGATGGCGCGATAAGTGGAAAAAATAAAAACTTTTTCGCAGCTTTGTGGAATACAATTAGTGGCAATACAAGTGCGTTTTAAGTAAGTGCGTGGCGAAAGTGGCGGAGCAGAGAAAGAATGATGCGCAACTCGCTACGCGTGAGCTCACTGAAGCAACAAAAGCAATAAATAAAAAAGTGACTTTTACATGCATTCCGCGCACCCACACACTGGCGTTAAATACATACATATTTAAGTGCATTTGTGCATGCTCGTCAACGGGAAAATCGTTTATTCGCGAGCTTGCAATTGCCAGGAAATATTGTACGCAAATTTGTCTAAAAATGATCTCTAACCCATCGCACTCAGACAGACGCAGCGCGCTTATAGGGGCAGCGTATGTATGACGGCATATGTGTATTTATTTTCCACACTCGCCCATCGCTGTAAGTGAGTGTGAGTGAGCGGCGCGCGTGTGTGTGTGCGTCGAGTGCTGAACTCTTGAACTGCAGTACATGGCTTTAATTCGATTTTAGGGATGTGCGGCTTGGCGGAGTGGGAGGCGATCGAATTAATGAGTACATGATAAACAACTGGACGCTTTCCGAGGCTCCGAATCGCTTGTTTTTCTCTAACAAGTGGCTTGCGGCAGCCATATTGTTTTGCCTTGCGTTTGCGGCGATGATCGCACTCGCACCCCCACACACACACACACACTCAGTCAGTCTGTCAGTCCAGTTTGTGTGTATACATATTTATTCAATTAAATATTTGCGTTTAATTAAAAAGGAGTGAAACTGCAACAATTGATTTATTTAGGTAAACAAACAGTGAGATCAGTGCAAATTCAAAGAGAGAGAGAGAGTCTTTGTTTTTATTTTCGGTTTTTCGTCATGCTAATTGAACAAGCCATTAATTGAACAATCAGCTGTTCCAATGGAAAATACGCAAATCTGGAAAGGATCGCTGGAATTTTCCTGCTTGTGTGTCCGCTCTGACCCATTAGTATAGCATTAGTATTTCAGTTTTTCGGCCAAAAACTTGTTTTCCCCCCAACCCCAAGACGTCATCCATTAAATGTTTCGTGAAAACTAGTCAGCAAAAAGCACAACAATAAAACCAGCAACAACTGCTGCCTGAGAGTGACAAAGAGAGCAGGAGACAGAGATAGCGAGAGTGAGTGAGAGCGCGGGGAGAGAGCCATAGGCATTGGAATATGTATGGCTTGCGCGTGATTGTGTGGGTGTGCTGTTCAGTTATCTGTGTTGAAATAAAAACAATGAAATTGCAAGGAGATATCTGCCTGAACCCTCTCCGATCTGCCCCGCCCCCTTAACCCTTCACCACCCACTCAAAAAAAAGCAAACAAATATTTTAATGTACATGCATTAATGCCCGAAATGTGTTCAAACGAATTTTGTGTGCCCACAGGTTTAAGTGAAAAGTAGCAGTGCAAATATATACATACATATCAAAACCCATTGGAATAGTGCAACCAAAAACACATAAAACAGTACTAAAGCCGCGAAAATCAACGCAATTAAATCACTTCTGGATTCATTTCGGCCCGGTATTACTAGCTAATTTTAAAATAGCTGCCGAAAGCATTCCGCAACCACTGCTGGTGACTGGTCCCAAATCAATGCGAACAATACTCCACGGGATCCTCCGACTTCGAGTGGCTTACGCATGCCTTTGAATTTGCATCTTCGCACCCGCACAGCAGCCAGCAAAAGCCATCGCAGAAAACCCTATGGATGACCCATCAATCAAAAAACGGTGAGTTCAACTGCTCCACTGTCTCCATGCGCTATAATTTCCCCCACTTTGCCACTGGTGGTTAAATTGTTCGCAGTGCGATAAGAGTTTATCTTTTGTCCTCTAGAGACTTAATGATTGTTATTTTCGCTCTTATTGGCAAGCAACAGTCGATTATACTAATAAATATACAGTATGGAGGCAGGTTTAATGCAAAGTTTGAAGGCAGTGTCAACTGGTTGTTAGGATTGAATAATTTAAATGAAATCTTGGAGTTATGTGTGCGAGTAGTCACAAAATAAGCTAAAGCTTTTCATATGTATATTAATCATAGATTATAAGAAAACTTAAAAACTGTTGACCTAAGTGCTTTGCTATGTGGATTTAGGCAAACCATAAATTGTACAACCGACATATTATTTGATCTGGGAACTGCCAAGTTATGTAAGATCGTTGTTCAAATTATCTTGAAGTAAGTAAATATAGCCAATAATATAGGTAAATAGTTCCAAAGCCACATACAGATGATTTAACTGTGCATTAGATCACCGATCAACTTTTGTAACAAATTACTAATTCATTTGACCCGTGATTAGTCACCAAACGTTGTTTGAAAAATTCCAATTGGCGAGGTGAAACTTTTCGCCGTCTCACAGTTCTGAAACGCACTGTGTTTGCTGATTGTTTATACCAATAGTTCCCCCAAGCTTGGGGTTGTTTTTGTGCGGTTTCGACTACCAAATGGATGACTTAATACATATATACTCGCACCAACTTAGGGAGCGGCCAGTTTTCACATTTTACCATTTATTTCTTTTATTGCCACCGAGGGAAGTTTTAGCCCAAATAGATTGGCGAAACCAGTGACTTTCTAAGCATGCTAGTGTGTGCATTTGGTGGTGGTGTCTTAACTACGAATTGTATAATACCCATGCAAAATGATTTAAATCTATTAACAGCTCACTATGCTCACCATGGTGTTGTTGTCTCATTTGTGGGCCTTAACAGGTTTTACTCAGCCCGTCAACGGGCTGCATCAAGATTTCCTCAAAATTAGGCAGCTATATTTAGACATAAAGAGAATTCACTTGGATCAAATGGAGAGACATGCTATTGACATGGGCGGCCAATCAGTCAAAAAAGTTAATGTAAACATTTGATTTTTGGAGGTCTTGCCCGGCTGTTATGGAAATAACTCATCATAATGATGAATACACCAGGCGGGAAATGAGCTTTTATTATATTCCGGTATATGGACGGGTCCGAAGGTACACACTGTATACTCGGACTGTGTACATACATACATATATCCATTCCATTCACATGCAAAATAATCAAATAAGCGGCAATTAAACTGTATCTATTCTTCTGGCTGATTTCATTTTAGCTCAATTAAAAGAGACCCACCAGCGACGACAAATCGCTTCGCTTTGGCTTTGGCCGTGACTTTCGTTACATGTTTGTCGCATTCACGGCGAGGTCTTGATTAGCCACTAATCTAGCTATCTGCTCTTTAAAACCCAGCATACCACATGGGAATCGTTGGCGAAGAGCAGAAGCAGTTCCGCCATGAAATTATTTAGCATTGATTACCTCCCATAGATGATTGAGCTGGCAATCTGCAGGTTCTATTCACTGCCTGAAGTCTGGTATTTTAAAGGGCATAAAAACTTACTAACCAATCAGCCTTCTGTTATAGTGAATGAACAATAGAAATGTATTTATTTTAAACACAGAGGCGGTAGTCAGAAATCTGTGTGTATAAAAAGGCGATAATAGGTTTTACAAGATAATTAAAATGGTGCTGGTGACAACCAATCTGAGTAAATGGAGATAAAGATTTGATAAATAGCGTTGGATGGGTTAGTCACTCAAAACAAAGACTTCGAAATAATAAAAATAACCACTGAGCTATGTGTCTTTCATATTGAATTATTTGTCATTTTCATTTTTGCTTTAAAGAATTCATATTATGCGGGCATTGTTTATCTGATTTTCATTTTACTTCACTTTATCGGAATTAATTTTAAATAAGATTTTTAAATTAACTACATATATATTTTGGTCCCTCAGGTTACTAGATTTATATACTGACGAACATGAATACGATGAGGTTCAGGAGATACCAGAAGAGTCAAGCATTCAGCCCCCGGAGTCATCAACGAGCCATCCCAGCACGAACGGATCGAGCCACTCAGGACCTGGAACTGCAACTGGATCAGGAGCAACATCTGCAGGCCCATCACCGGTTGCGCCACAGTCACCAGCTATCGTTGTGGACTCGGTTCCCGAGCTGCCAGCGCCCAAGCAGAAATCTGTGAAGAACTCGAAGAGCAAACAGAAGCAAAAGCAGTTGGCGAACAAGTCGAAGATTCCACGGTCCCCTTCGCTGGCGAGCAGCCTAAGCAGTCTGGCCAGCAGCCTCAGTGGTCACAGGGATCGGGACAAAGATCGGGACAAGGATCGGGACAACCACAACCCAAACGCCGTGCCGCCGCAGACGCCGCCGTTGCCCTCGAGCTACAAGCAGACCCAAATGAATGGTGACACCACATCTGCAGCTGGTGGTGGTGTTTCTGCCCCAGCCACGCCCACCACCGCCAATAATAACAATGCGAGCCACAACAACGGCAGCGTAATGGGCGGGGGCGTGCAATTGAATCAATCGGACAACGCCAACCCTGTTCTCCAGGCGCCGGGGGAGCGCAGTAGCCTCAATCTGACTCCCCTCTCCCGGGATCTGGGTGGTGGCCACTCCCAGGAGCCCACGACGCCAGCGACCACGCCGACTACGCCAAGCCTAGCATTACCAAAAAATTTTCAGTATTTAACCCTGACTGTGCGAAAAGATAGCAACGGATACGGGATGAAGGTATGTGTTCATGCTTAAAGGGTTGCTGCTTTCCTTGCTGTGGATATCTGAAATTTAACGTAGAGCATTAAGTAAGACTTTATATAGCTTATTTGTAGGCTTTATCCATTAGCTTGAGCAACAAACCATGATAATAATTGATTTACTTCTTAAACCTTTTTCTAAATCATTTACAGGTTTCCGGAGATAATCCTGTGTTTGTGGAGAGTGTTAAACCCGGAGGCGCGGCGGAGATTGCAGGACTGGTTGCTGGCGATATGATACTAAGGGTGAGTAGGATACATTGTCCTCTTGCACCCACTTTTCTTATGTTCTTGACTATAATTTTAGGTGAATGGCCATGAAGTGCGACTAGAGAAGCATCCAACTGTAGTGGGCCTTATAAAAGGTATGAAAACACAGTCCTTACAAGAAAGTAACCAAATTTATATTGTTGAGGTTACTGTACAATAAATTTGGTCAATGAATTAAGGGATTTCTAGGTAGCGGTTTCTCGAGGTGTTTTTCGGCACTGTTTGCAGGATTTGATGGGCTCCGAGCGGGGTTCTGACTGGGGTTTCTCACCGCATCTACACTTCCCTTCATCGCTGGGTAGTCTGGCGCACTTGCGTTTGTTATCCTTCCAATTTTCCGCCTGACGTTGCTTGCACTTCGAGCACTCGCACGGTGGCTTTTTGGGCAATCGCGGCTCGTAGATAAAGCTATCCCTGTTCCGGTCGCATCCTGGTGGAATCAGAGGAGCCTTTGGGCAGTCCTTGTCCTTACAATGCGGTGGGACTAGTCCTGGTGGTCTGACCAGAGGAGTCTCGTCCAGCTGCCCCTTGGATATCTTTATTTCCTTCTTCGTCGACTGGCTCTCCTTAATGTACTTTTGAATGGTTTCGTTAAAAGCATTGACAAAGCTTGGTACTTTTCCCAAAAACGATGCCAGTCCAGCGGGAATGACGCTCAGTAAGTCGAAAACCGACTTAACTAACTGATTGTAGTAATGGATGCCAAAGAAGGACCATTCTCCTTGCGGTGGCGGCCTAGGCGGGCAGATGTTCAGTTGACGTCGCGCCCGATCGGCGTAGGGTTCAATGCGCTCCACAGTTTCATCGTACACATCCTGCGTCTTGTTCGGCGATCCCCACACGCCGTAGTTCTTGGTGACCATTACCACAGCATAGACAACGCCCGCTCGCAAAATCAGGCCCACTACCATTTTACCTAGCGTCGGAATCCCGAACTCCCTGTGATGCTTAGGTGTGACCTCGAATTTTCGACAGCCAATGCCAGGGTGTTTAGGATGACACTTTTTTGCCACACGTTAAGTCGTCCTTGATCTTGGGTGATCGCAGTGGTCGCTTTGATTTCGTTTGATTGGAAACTTGCATTTCTCGGGGAATGTTTTCAAAGAATTGTGCACCACTGCTCTCCGAGAAGACTTCGCCATAACGCTCAGAACGATAATCTCCATAGAATTTCGATATGTTCGTATGCTGTTCGTTGCTGCTTTTGTAGCTTTTCCTTGAGCCGTCAAAACCATGGGATAGGATCTTCTGGGTCTGGTGCTTAAAGTCCTTAGCCCAGTCGGGCATGCGAAGGGAGAAGTAGAAGCCCCGCTGGAGGGCCACATTGCAGCTGCTTGCAGCCACGAAACTGAACTCGCTTTCTCCAAACAGTTGAGGGCCCATTGACTTCCAGGACTTCTCGGAGGCTGCCAGGACCATCTGCTCCTCCGGCTTCAGTTGGCTCACAGACATGTTTATTCCGTATATATAGCCCAATAGAGAAATTAATTTGTTTCACTTTGATTATAATGGATGAAAATCGAGGGTTAAATTTTTAATTCATTTTTGATTTTAAATTTCTAGAGAACTTTGAATGCTTAAAAGTAAAAGGTTATGTTTACTAAGTTTGGTGAAATTTCTAAACCATTAATTAAATGATTTGTCAATTCATTTGAAGATGCTTATTTATATGTGAAGTCATTTATCTCCCCTGAAGAACTGACATATCCTAACGCCCACCTTTTCAAAGGTTGCGCTCCAGTAGGACGGAATACCTTTTAGGGCCACCCATGTCTTAGAAAATGCCTCGCCAATGGTTTCGCCCAGAGGCTTTGGTGGGGGTTCGCAGAAGGTGCCCTTGGGGCAAAACTTTTTCTCTAAATCCTCTTTTTTCTTTAGGAGTTCTTTAGATATAGTGGTTCCAATATCTGTGCCCTCCTGTGGCTTGTCGTTTGAATTTTTTGTCTTCAAAGGTTCTTCTGCTTCTATTCCAAGTTTACTGCTTGTGGGTTTGATTGGTTCGTCCCAAACTCCTAGTTCTTTGACCAAGTAAATGGTACTAGAAAATAGCACAAGCTTCATGAGCCTGCGCATGATCATTTTGAATTTGAAAAGGAAATATTTTAAAGAGATAATGATTAGAAAATTTGTAAAAAAAAATATTAATTTCTGACAAAGTAATCAAAGCTTCTTATTATTTCTTCAAACTTTCAAGCCTCGACAACTGTTGAGCTGGCGGTGAAGCGAAGTCAGAAGCTAACGCGTCCCACTTCGGTGTCAGTGGTAACGCCCTCGACCCCGATACTTTCTGGACGAGATCGTACCGCTTCTATAACTGGACCACAGCCGGTGGACGTAAGTATCTCAAATGGGAGTCATAGAGCATCCTAATGTCATTGTCTTTTAATTGCAGAGTATTAAACGAAGGGAAATGGAGACTTACAAGATCCAGACGTTGCAAAAAATGCTGGAGCAGGAGAAACTAAATCTGGAGCGATTGAAAAGCGATCAAAATAATCCGAGCTACAAGCTGTCCGAGGCGAATATTCGTAAGCTGCGCGAGCAACTGCATCAAGTGGGAGCCGAGGTGAGTGAGGGAATATTTCTGTAGGGCATATCTATTTATACTTTAGGCAATATAGGTCACCAAAATCTCCATAAGCCCAGGAATCCTTGCCCTCCCAAAACATGATATTAATGCCGCAAGCAGATGCCAGGCAGCTCTGTTAACCCAGCTAATAATACAATCTAACAATGCTATTTCGCTGTTCGTAACCGTTTTGAGTTGAGTTGAGTTGAACGCATAATGAAACGAGAGTTCCAAAGGGATTTAGTTGAAACCGAATGATGCTACATGATCTCTATCTTTCTCTTCCATTTCGCGGCATTCTAACGCACTCCCATGATGAAACCCTAACACAGGATGCACCGACTGTTAAACTTCAGGCGGCCGCTGGCAATAAGAACACAGCATTACTAACGCCCAACCAAATCCAACACTTGTCCGCGTCCGCCACTCACAGCAATCAGCAATTCCATCATCTTCACCACCACCACAATCTCCACAACAACAATTATCCGCCACAGCAACAGCCAGCTAGCACCTCACCTGCATTCCTGTCCCTCCTGCCGCGTTCCCTTTCGTCCTTGTCGCTGGGCACGCGAAAAAACAAGACCGAAAAGGACCTAACGACTACATCTCCCTTTGGCCTTACGACGGATTTCCTGCAGCAGCAACGGATGAGCCACCAAGCGGAGTCAATGTCTCAATCGATGCATCAGCACACCAGCACTCCGACTTCGCAGCAGTTCTTCCACCCGCATCAGCAGCAACATCGCTTTAAGGAAACTGGGCCGTCTTCGAAAGGCAAAAACAAGTTCCTGATTTCGAGGAGTTTAATTGAGGAGGATGTGCCGCCACCACTACCGCAAAGGAATCCGCCCAGGCAGTTAAACTTGGACCTCAAAAACGGAAACGCATCACCGAGCGGCTCACACCTGGTGGCTCCAGTTTCCGATCTGGATCGCGCCACAAGTCCCCAGTTAAATAGATCCCAACAGCAGCCACTACCTAGCAGCACTGACAACAGCCCGAGCAATGCCAAGTCCAAGCGTTCCAAGATCAAAACGAAGGCCTTATCGGATCCCAAGATGTCCACCCAGATGTTTCTGCAAATGGAATCGGCGTGTGCGGCTGGAGTAGCCGGAGGATCCATCGAGGTAGATGGTGGTCCACCACCACTACCGCCTCGTTTGCCTGGCATGATGACGGAGGACATGAGCCGCGGCAGCTGTCAGAACCTCGCTCAACCCAATTCCGTGGGCACTGCCTTCAACTATCCTCTGGTTTCCACAACAACAGCGGTGCAGAACGATAACCTGAACATTGCCTTTCCCTTGTCCCAACGCCCCAACATTGTCCAGCAACTGCAGCAATATCAACAGCAGCAGCAGCATCAAATGAGCGGTGGCCAGGCCACAGGCGTAAGTAGCCAACGAATCACTCGATCTCTATCTCTCTGCAAAGAAACGCACTGCCGAAATCCTAACCTTCTAATTCTTTATTTCTTACACCCTTTTCATTCTCTAACATTTCTCTGTTTCATGCTTCTAATTAATTAATTGACGCCATCATAAGTTGCCAATGTTTATAATATTAATTTAAATTAGCTTACCGCTAGCTCAACTAACAGCAACCGAAAACACATTTGATTACTCACTAAACAATGAATAACACGCAGGAAATTCTTATTTTGGGTATATTGTTTGCATCGGAGATGTAGTTTTTGAAAAGCTATTTACAGGTTGAATTATTTCTTATTTCGTGTGTAACTTGGGCCAAGTATTGTTTAGCTAGATATTTTAATTTCTAAACGCCTCTATGCTCACAGGCTCTTGGACAGACCCCGAATTTGGGAAAAAACAAACATCGACGCGTTGGCTCTTCACCGGACAATATGCATCCCCGTCATCCGGGTAAGATATATTTTTGCAATTTAATGCCAATCTCAATATGAAATCATGAACAGATCGGTTAACGAAAACAACTTCGGGCTCGTGGGAGATTGTTGAAAAGGATGGCGAATCCTCGCCGCCAGGAACACCGCCACCACCATATCTATCGAGCTCTCACATGACCGTGCTGGAAGATCCTAACGAGAACAGTCGCGGAGCAGCAGCCGGATCAGGAGTCTTCATCGAGTCGCATCAGTTTACGCCGATGGCGGGAGCCTCTTCCCCGATCCCGATATCCTTACATTCCGGCCACATACATGCGGCCCAGTCGAACGATACGCAGAAGGAGATCATCTCGATGGAGGACGAAAACTCGGACTTGGATGAGCCTTTCATTGACGAGAACGGGCCCTTCAACAATCTAACTCGTTTGTTGGAGTCCGAGAACGTCACTTTCCTAGCCATCTTCCTAAACTACGTGATCTCAAACTCGGATCCCGCGCCACTTCTGTTTTACCTGATTACTGAGTTGTACAAGGAGGGCACCTCCAAGGACATGCGCAAGTGGGCCTACGAAATCCACTCCACATTCCTCGTGCCGCGGGCTCCATTGTCATGGTATCGCCAGGATGAATCCCTAGCCCGCGAGGTGGATAATGTCCTGCAGTTGGAGTATGACAAAGTGGAAATCCTACGGACCGTTTTCCTACGCAGTCGCAAGCGCGCCAAGGATCTGATCAGTGAGCAACTGCGTGAGTTTCAGCAGAAGCGCACCGCCGGCCTGGGAACCATATACGGACCCACGGACGACAAGCTGGCCGAGGCGAAGACGGATAAGCTAAAGGAGCAAATCATCGACAAATATTTAATGCCCAATCTGCACGCGCTGATGTGAGTACATTAATATATTTACCTACTCTTGTATTTACACATTTATTTTTCCAGTGAGGATGAGAACGGTTCACCGCCGGAGGATGTACGCAAGGTGGCGTTGTGTTCGGCTCTTTCCACCGTCATCTACCGAATTTTCAACACTCGTCCGCCTCCAAGTAGCATCGTCGAGCGGGTCCACCACTTTGTGAGCAGAGACAAGAGTTTCAAGTCGCGTATAATGGGCAAAAATCGCAAGGTAAGAGATTTGGAATGTAATATTTAACCGACATTACTTTTTAAATAAAAATCGATCACCCTGCAGATGAATGTTCGTGGTCATCCATTGGTATTGCGTCAATACTATGAAGTGACGCACTGTAATCATTGTCAAACGATTATCTGGGGCGTGAGCCCGCAAGGTTATCATTGTACAGGTGAGCGTCTCTCTTAAATTTGCTTTTGAAGTGAGTATATTTTTAACTTCCGTGTTGCAGACTGTAAATTGAATATACACCGTCAGTGCTCGAAAGTAGTGGACGAGAGTTGTCCCGGTCCATTGCCCCAGGCAAAACGTCTTGCCCACAACGACAAGATCAGTAAACTCATGGGCAAAATTCGACCGCGCGCCAGCGACGTCATTGGAAGTAAGTAGGAGTATCTAACACTGAAACGGAAATAAATGAAATGTGTTCTTTTCTAGATGAAAAGCGCAGTCGGCAAGATGAGGAATTGGATGTTGAGTTGACTCCAGGTGCGTCACTTAAAACCCACATTAAACACTTAATTAACTAAATAATTCTGATATTTGTTCTTTTCAGACCGTGCTCAGACGTCGATTGTACGTCAACCCTCTGATCGGCGGCCGGATGCGAACATATCGATAAGGTCGAATGGGAATACCTCCTGCAACACTTCGGCGCTGAACACTACCGACCTGCAAAGTTCTTTTCACGGCAGCTGTGCCAACGACAGTATTAACCCCGGTGGTGGAGCCGGATGCAACATGGATTTATCTACGAGTGTGGCGTCAACGACTCCGTCAACCAGTGGATCCGTGTCAGCCGGTCTGAGTGCGTTTGCCGAGCTGAACGCCCTGGATACAGTGGATAAGGAAGCGCGTAGGGAGCGGTAAGAATATTTAAAGTGGTATTAATTTCCGTTTAATAAGATACCTTATCCCCCGCAGTTACAGTCAGCATCCGAAGCACAAAAGTGCCCCAGTCTCCGTGAATCGGTCGGAATCGTACAAGGAGCGCTTGTCCAACAAGAGGAACCGCAACAGTCGCCGCAAGACCTCTGATCCAAGCTTGTCGTCGCGTCCCAAGTAAGTTTAAGAAATCGATTTCGCTGCCATCTAGGATAAGAAGTGGAAGTTCTGACCTACTGTCTTTATTTCTTGTCCTCCTTCGCCGTCTCAGCTTACCAAATAAATTCTTTCATTCCATTGTCATTGGCTGAGCCACTCCTTAGATCCTCTCAACTAAAGCATTTTCCTACGCCTTTCTGTGGCCGCGAAGTAACCGGATATTAATTTTACTAATTAATGTGAAGTGCGACGCACTGCAATCAATATACGCTGTCTGCTTTCCGTTGTCGCGTCTCTGTGGCGCAAACTTTCCACAGACTTTCCGCCACACGTTTATTCCAAAAGATTCGCTTTAGTTTGAGTTTTTAATTAAACAATATACAAGTTGGCAAGGATATGATTAGCAGACATTGCATTAATACATTTTCATGGAATCGCTGGGAACCCGCTGGGTCGTCGACCAGGGTATCCAGCCTTCGACTAATCATTACCACAGACCTCGTCTAATGTTTACGATGACTATTACCGCTGTATATATGTTTAGCAGCCAC